AACACTGTAACAATTGGTTTTTATCTAAAACAGTAATTATAAACGTATAACTAAACTGTAATCACCGCATACCTTCGTTTCTTAAGTTATTACAGTGTTGTTCGTAATTTCTAATTGTACTTTCTCTTATAAAATCAGGTCGCGTTTATTACGAGCTATCTTATCACGATTGTTAAACGAACGTCGTGGGAAACCCGGACAACTTTATTGTTAACTTTTGCTTTTTTACCCATTTCTCGTGTCAAAGTCAAAGGTAAAGTCAAATAATCTTTATAGATAGATAGATAGATAACACGTTTATTCAGCACAAATACAAACAGAAACAAAACATTTACAATCACTTCACAGAGTATAACATAAAAGCACATAGAACATTCATTATTAATTTTATACACATTTATACAAAATATATATTGCGAGACAAAACAAATACTGTGAGAAAACAAACAAATACTATAACAACTGATAAAATTTTAAAATACTTATGACTACAGTTTGTGCTGAAATGGCCCTGACTCAGCATAAATACTGTAGACCAAGAGAAGGCAAACAGTGCTGATTTTCTTTATCATTTCTTTATTTCATTATCTACACCAAATCTACACATATCATAAACCATCTATGATATGTTCAAAAACCACAAATTACGGCTAGCATAAACATAATCTGTTTTGTTAGAGTAAATTTCTTATCTGTGAAAATGCTATTATTGCCTATTAATAACATCAAATTCGATTTTATTATTACATTCAAATTTCAAACATCTCTGAAAAACAAAACAATTTGATTCAACCTCAATTCTAATATCAGTCGAGACGAAGTTTTATTCGAAATGAAATGTCAATAGCAAACAATTTTGACAAATTTCACACGTTACTTGTTATCGAACTATATGATAGTTGAGGCCGACTCTAGTTTGTCTATGAATTAAATAAAAACTACTGTTGTGTGACACGCGTGAGAAAAGTTTTTATTTGCCATCATTTCGCCAGTCGTAATATGCGGTCCCTGAACATATCATAGAGAGCTTATAATATGTGTATAGATAAAGCAGTGTATGTAACTGTACAACAACACTCAAGGCAAACACTCGAGCGATGTTTTCATGAAACAAGCCGACAGGCGAGTTTCAAACCCACACTCGGATTTTAATGCCTTTCATTATGTAACACTCACATAAACTGCTATTATTTCACAAGTAAGCAAATTACACTTGAAATCTTCATACTAATTAAGCTCTACTGCTCATTCGTAAGGCAGATTCCCTTGAGAAGAATGAGCAAGAAACTGTAGGGGTTGCTCTTTGTAAATATACATTTGAATACATTTATCATTATAATATTTAATTGAAACATCTTAGGTTAAGAATTCTTGATAGAGCTTTTGCCACGGATTTTTGTCATCCAAGTACGCAGAAGTTATATAATAACCTTTACTTTTTGTTTCACTATAGTTTCAAACCACGTAAATGGCAAATTTTGAATAGAAATCAGAATTTTATTATAGAAGCGTACCCTTAAGTGAATTTGATACTTTATGAAGACGACTATCAAGAACAGATAGTTTATTTTTATTCCTCATATTAATAATAATAATAATAATAATAATGTCCTGCTCGATACGGCACGTATTGTTCGCCGATTCTTGGACCTGAGTCCCTGACCCCGGCCGACTGTGCCATTGCCGGGAAATACCGCCTCTCCCATTTAAAAATTCAAAATTAATTTTTTAGGCCTTGGGAGAGGCGAGAGTTTAAAATAAATACGAAAATAATAATAATAATCATTTATTTCAAACAAAGTTCATAGCTGGTTAGTAACAATTATCTTAAAACTATGTTAGAACAAATTATATTTAACATTATAAATGGCAACATTAGAGTGCATATGACACGCATTCCAGTGACTTACTATGGGGCAATCTACCCGCTCCAAAATGGTATTTAGGAGACCGCTGCCGCTATCCCGCACGCGCTTCATCACCGAGGCTACTCGTTTGCGTAGGACAGTCTGAAAACTATCCACACGCGTCTCGGCAAACATACCAGATGCGCTGCAGAACCGGGGCAACCCCAGCAGCATCCTAAAACCATTATTGTACTGTACGCGTAGGGCATCAAGCGATTTGCGAGTACATTTGGCCCACAGGCTGCACGTGTAAAAAGTTTGGCAGTATGCCTTGAATAAGGTTGTTTTTACTTCCTTATTTCATCGTGCAAACCTGCGCGCCAACATGTTGCTTCTCACCGACAATGCCCTACGCTCCCTCTCTACGTCCAGGTCATCAGAGAGGTCCACGTTGACCCCATGCCCCAGATATTTAAACTTGTCGACTCTACTCAATACTGTCCCTCCAAGCTTAACTGGAGGAACAGACTTTGGCGATTTGTTTCCTGCCTTAAAGACGAGTAGCTCACTTTTTTTACTGTTATATCTAAGGCCGTGGGACACCGCGTACCCCTCACAAATTCCAATTAGGACCTCAAGGGCTCTGACTGATGGGCTCAGCAGAACCATATCATCTGCGTAGCTGATGTTGTTCATAAAACTCCCGTCTATTGAGCAACCCACGCCGGCCTTGCTGAGCTCATCAATCAGCCCACTTACATACAAGTTGAAGAAACGTGGAGAAGTCAGTCCGCCCTGCCTCACCCCGCACTCCAACCTGTACTCTTTTGAGTATGAACCAGCCCATCGAACCTTATTAGTTTGGTGCTCATACCAGAACTTAGTTAACCTTATAAGCTCACGCGGTGCGCTAGTCTCCCTCAAAAGCTTATCCCATAAAACGTTGTAGGACACAAGGTCAAATGCCTTCGACAAGTCCAAAAAACAGGCATAGATTGGTGTTCCTCGAGTAGCGTAGTACTGAACGGTATGCTTAAGTCGCAGAATTGCTATTTCAGTGGACAGCCCTGGCCTGAAACCGAACTGTGCCTCGTGCAGATGCACATGCTTTTCAAATATGCGATCAAGCAAACCGTCCAGCACCTTAGCTATCACGGTTGCCAGCGAGATTGGTCTATAATTATTCCTGTCAGAGGCATCTCCCGTTTTGTTTTTCGGTATCGGTACAACAATGGTTTCCATAAGCTCTCGTTATTGTTATGTCTGCCACTGTTTTTCATAAAAAAAATTAACATTTTTCTTTGACATAAATAACATTTTGTACTGTGACGTGCATTAAGTAAGTTTTGTTTTTAAAAACAATAATCGATTTCCGACTTTTTATGATGCTTGGTGACGGGACAAACAAGTCGTAACCGACACGCCTGTCCATAGCAGTTGCAGTGCCACTCAGAGCTTCAAATCGCCAAGATCTGAGGGGCACTGCCACCGCGCCTGTCACCCTGAAATATAAGTTTGCAAGTAAGTAATGTGCCTGAAATTCATCAGCACCCTTATACCCTTTGAAAACTGAAATGCAATAATACCCGCATTACTTCTTTGCGGCACAAACATGTAAAGCAGCGGTACAAATTCTTCCACAAAGAGTTCTACTGCTGCTATAGACAAACTTAGGAGCACTATAAGCAGCTTAGTACCTATCTGCTTATAGTGCATTAAATAACTACTACCAATTTAAAAACGGACTTTAAACTTTTTTAACACTTCACAATTTTCGCAAAACACTCCAACGTTTTCCAATGTTCTGATTTAATCACGATTATTTATTTAGTAATATAACTTACTAAATTTGTGATCGCCGAATACATGGACTCGAAATAGGTAACTCTGTTCCACGAGTTTTTCGCGAACCTTCTATCACTAGACGGATTTCCACAGTCCGTGATTTTAGCGACCAATTCGCGCGAGCTGATATCCTAACACCAAGGAAAGAGTCTAGTCCGTGATAATGCAGACGCGTCCATAGCGGTGCATGGAATGCATGGGGCATTGGGAAAAATGGTCAGAACCGGTGTGTTGTGATAGATTGTCAATCTGTAGTTGGTTAATTATGAAAGGGCGGGACTAATGTGTGGTTGTCGGCAGTCGCCTTTAAAGTCACAAGCACAATCCTATTATCCACTAGTTAAAGTTCTAAAAGAACTGAATGGGCTTATAGAATCGAGAGTGACGTATTTGCAGGGAAATAGTGCTTTTTTTTAAACCTGCATTTATTCTTAACGTATGTTCTTAACATTTTTTAAAATATTTTATTTACCTAATTCAGTTAATGAATACGGTAATTTTTTGTCAAACAAAAAAACTTACGTCAAATTCACCAAAGTGATATGATAAACATTTGTCAAAGTGATGTAAGAATCTGAAGTAATTGACAATTAAGTTTTTTCAAATTTATTTAATTGATTTTACTAACTCCGTTGTCTAATACATAAGAATTAAAATGGTTAATTTTATTTAGGAGAATTAATGGGAGTTACCGTTATTAGTCTAACTTTGTTATCACTTTTATTACTCAGTATTAATGTTAATGACGGCCCTTTTATAGCGTTTAATTTTGTGATACACACTTACGCAAATGTGTCTCGTTTCCACATTGTTAAACTTTAAGTGGGAATTCGTGTTGACACGAATATATTTTACCGTCAAGAATAACAAAAAAACAGTATCATTTGGTATTTAATGCGTAGTTATTTAAAGCTTATTTGGAGTTCATTTTACATCGGTAGTTTAAACGTGACTTGTGGTATAGAAACTTAGTACTAAGACTTAATGAAACATTACTTGATTTAGAAAGGTACTAAGTGACATTTTCTTAATTGCAACGATGTAGGTATGTACAAATTGTCTGCCTAGTCTATTATGATTTTTCTCTGTCTACCCCAACGACGTACACCGATGATCTAGTGAAGGTTGCGGGAATCCGCTAGATGCAAGCAGCACAAGACCGGTTTAAGGGGAGGCCTATGTTCAGCAGTAGACGCCTTTCGGCTGGAATTATGATGATAATGGTGATAACCCCACAGAGAGACAGAGGCGTAATTATAATGTATATATTATGAACAAATGATAATGAAATGCTTTCAATTGTTACAGAATTCCAAACCAATGAAAAAAGGGATTTTATCTGGAAATATTACCATCCGGTGATGAAGTTAGATCCAAGATGGGCATTGCAGCAAACACACAAACATACAAAAGAAGTCGGACGGGATGGAGGTTCCCAAAAACATTAACAATTCTATTGTACATAACATTATTTGTTATAGAAAGCAAATGCCAGAACAGTCAGACCAAAATAGATAATTTAGAAATAATAGATAAACAATGCCATAGTTGTCACAATAGTAATAACATTGATAATAGTAAAAGGAAAGAAAATAGCAAAAACAAATCAAACAACGAAGAGGAATCATTCGTAGAAGAACTAATGGTAACAGTAGGAACATTTACTAAAGATTACCTTCTAGCAAATAAGACAGAAGAGCAACTTGGGCATGAGATAGAAATCTTACTAGACGACGCCCTAAGCAAAGATAGATATGAAATTTTTGACGGAGTTGAAATTAAATCTATTAAAACAAACAATTTTGAAATTAAAGCGGATGCAGTTGAAGGCAGATCATTGTTTCCTAAGTACACTTACGAATACAGATTGTATCAGAAGATAAAGACATTTATAGATACGCATGTATTATCAATAAATCTACCAAAGGCTGCAAGATTGGTTGGATTTAGATGTAAGTACCTATGATATTATATTCTGAGCTTAAAATCAAGAAAAGTGTGATGTTTTTCCCGAATATATCTTAGTTCCTTGCATGTCTTTGGAGCCAAATGTATTAGGAAAACAACCATTATCGACAAATAACAGGACTGAACGGAAGACCCAAATGCTATCGTTGTCCAACGTGTTATTATAAGGCATTATGCCAGCATTTTAAGCGCCTTATTTAGACAAAGAATTCATTGTATTTTATTCCGTTGTGTTGTATATATACGGTTAGAGTACTTTTAAAGTAATATAATCATCCTATTTAAAAGTCAGACTCTGGCCGGTGTAGCCTCCACTACCCTTCACGGTTAATAGGCAGCTCGTAATAATTACGCACGGGCAAGATTTTAATGAATGTAATGACAATTGTTTCTAAATTGCAAAGAAGCACATGAGACTGGAAGCTGGACGTCTAAGAAAGTAATGTGCCCGACAGTGAAGGGTTTATTTTATGTTGCAACATTGACAGAATGGGAATAAAACTATTTTTTGGAATCTAAATCGCTAATTAATATTAGACAACTGGTTGATGACTTTATCATCTGTATCAGCCATAATCGTGGAACCAGTAAAAAACAAATATACACAATTTAGATTCGAAAAAATAGTTTCATTCCCAATGTGCAGCAATCGCGAAAACCTAAGAACGCGAAACATTTACGGAATTATCTTTATCTTATGTTACAGCATTCGGCCTGAAAAAACTCTTCTTCCCACTATTGATCGGAGCGCAAATATTCAAGAGTGTCCTTCTGGCTATGTTCCTACCAAGCATTTTGGGAAGCTTTGGCAAGATTCTTGGGAAAGGTAAGTTTAAGAGTAATTTCCCAGCGTAAATTGTTTGTGTGGTAATATGTCTTTCAGCGTAAAATGTCTTTCTAAGACATGATATTATGATACCTGGGTGTCCTATTGAATTCTTTCTTATTTTTACTATTTGTCGCAAATTTATAGTCGCCTTATTACGAAAATCGATTCCGGTCTGTTTGAGAGTTAATTTTTTTATTTAATGATACCAATTGACGGGGTGAACAACTCGTGGTGGTAAGCTCTGAGTGTTATTGCAACTGCTATGGAAAGATTACAAAGATTAAGGGGCATCTTATGGTGATAATTCCCATGTGCCTGTAAGTTCACCAGCACCCTTACCCTTCAAAACCGGAACGTTTACGGAACCGGAGCATTTAAGTTTTTGTTGTTCTATCTGACAATTATTAAATCTGTATTTGGTAGTAAAGTAGTAAATTAAATGTGCAAGCGTCCTCCCCGACAGACCCCACTTCAGCTCCTGCGTTTTGAATCTTACCACACAGAGTTATGAACGTTTAGAATGGTCTATTTAATTTTCTTTTATTTTTCTACCAAAGTAAAATGTGATGAATCATTACATAGGGCGCACTATAGTTTCCGGAACTGCCATAAACAACCACTTACATAAACAATATTTAAAAAATGATTAGAACATTTAAAAATGGAACTGTTTGACTGTTGAATACAGCATGTTTCATCTGACTGTCACTTGTTTTTACATTGTGGCGTCATATTAAAAATTGGTTGTCTACATCACAATGGATTTAACTCGTGAAAATTTTCGAAGTATGATTTTCTACGACTTTAAGTGTAATTTAATAGCTCAGTGGAGTTTCGCTCAACTTCAAACTGCTTTTGGCGATAAAGCACCATGCAAGACGACTATTTATAGCTGGTTTGCAGAATTCAAACTCGGTCGTGTGAATCTCAGTGACGAAGTTCGTGATGGTCGCCCGTCCACTGCTGTGAACAACAAAAACATCGATGCTGTGCGCCGTATGATCAAAACAGACAGGCATGTGACATACCATGAGATTCGGCCATGTTTAGGCATAGGCATGAGTCAAATACAATCAACATACACAAACATTTGGATGTGAAAAAGTTGTGCTATCGGTAGATCCCACACAATTTGACTGAGGCTCAAAAAACGGATCGCGTCACTTGGTGCAATGCCATGCTTACCTAATTTAACGAAGGGGCGTCAAATTTGGTGTGGGACATAGTAACAGGTGACGAAACATGGATTTGTAGTCTCGATCCCAAAACAAAGCAGCAATTGAGCGTATTGGTCTTTCGAGACGAGCCGAAACCAACCAAAATGGCGCGCGTGCAAAGTGCCTTTAAGCGGATGATTGCTTCTTTTTTTAATAAACTGGACACGTGGCTGCTGTTGCTATGGAGAATCGTTGTACCGTGAGTAGTGATTGGTACACGATCATTTGTTTGCCGGAAGTTATTGACGAACTCCGTAAAAATAACCGTAAACGCCGTATACGATAATGCCAGTTCGCACACGGCCAGACGGACAAATGAATTATTGAAGGTGAACAACGTTGACTTTATGAGCCAACACAGGTACATTCCCGATCTGGCACCTTGTGACTTTTATTTATTTCCACAAATTAAGAACCAGTTACGCGGTCAACGATTTTCATCACCTGACGAGGCTGTCGAAGAGTATGAAAAATATGTTTCAGAGATTGTCACGAAGGAGTGGCATAAATATTTTCAAAATTGGTTCATTCGCATGAAAAAGTGCATTAACGCTAACGGAGAATATTTTGATAAGCAATAAATTCATTTCTGACCATTTATAGTATTTTTATCTTATTCATTCCGGAAACTTATAGTGCGCGCCACGTAGAAGTCATGGAACAAAAGAACAAGTACAGACTACTAAAATACAATCCTGCGAGGATTGTACGAATAACCTTGTGTATATATTTATAAATACCGAAATTTGAAGGTACATTTTATACTATTGATGCTCTAAATACCTGACTTCTTTGCTTTTGGTTGTAATTTTTTTTTATGACATCAAGTGCTCGATCGAACAAGTTATGTGCCTGATGGCAAGCGACACGCCTGCCCATAACAGTTGCAATACTACTCAGAGTTTCAAATCGCAAAGATCTGAGGGGCACTCAGTCACACGTCACATTGAGACATGAGTTGACTAGTTCAGCCCTGTGCCTGTAATTTGACCAGTACCCTCACCGTTGAAAACCGGAAAACAATAACGCTCCCTTTACTGCTTGGCGACAGAAATAGGTAAGATGGCAGTACTTCCCTGGCTCCTCGGAGCTCCACTGCTACTAAATTTACATTTATGTAATGTTATTAAAGGTCAAATTGGATTTAAAGTGTTTTTAAAGCGCCATTCACTAACAGTACGTTAATACTTGATGATGACTTATGGAAGTGAATCACTTTTACTGCTCACATGCTAAGTTTGTCCGTTATAATATCTATTGCATTAGGCGCGGTTGAAATGCCTAATGCATCACAAGTATCGGAATTGGCTCAGTTTAGATGCCTCGTATCGAAAGTTGTAGGTGCCTGCTACCAGACGTCAAACACAATATAACAAGAATGTAAATCCATAATAGATTTCCACAGTGGATTTAAGTAAAAGAAAATTTGCTTGTAGTCGCCGAGATGGATCGCTGGATGGATCTGGGCGTACTCCGTACTATACGAGTTGGGGACTTCACACGTTTCTTAAGAGCTGTGACCATCTTCAACACTCAGGTTTCATCATGATGTTTTCCTTCATCGTTAGCGAGAAGTTTTGCTAGCCGACTTTGGTTCTGAGAGCCTTCGTATGCATTCAACATTAAAGTACGAAGGAATGTCAGCTTTTTGGTGAAAGTTTATAATTATGTATTGTAATTTATTAAAAATCAAACTGGCTTAAAATATTCTTTAAACGTCATTCACTGATATGCAATAAGGAAGTCATACTGAAGTGGGTTTTACGGCTCACAGATTAAAAATTTTATTTAATATGTCCAGGTTAAAGGTTTGTAACAGTTTTCTTCACGCTGATCTACTCAAAACAAAATAGACGGTTAGGGGTCATTTTAGGGCATCGAGTGAACCATTGCTTAACTAGCGCCCCGCTGCTGCTGCTAGCGGCAAGTGTGTTTTCTACGTAAATAATAAATATAACGTCATTAATTATAATGAACAAATTCATAACATCTTAACAATTACTAACATCGTTGTAACGTGTATTATCTTCATTTTAATTAACAAGATTCGCCAAATCGATTTACCAGCCTAGCATTGTCAAACGAATTTCTATATACATAATTTCATTGCGTCTTCAAGGGTGGGTTGCTTTTCAGTGAGTTCATTGTTCAAAAATATGGATATGAACATCAAACCGTATAATGTACTTCTATTGTCCATATACATAAAGCGCACAGAACCAATTGTCCAACTACATATATTCCGTCAAACAAATGTTCATATTAACACATTGAATGCGAATATTCTGATAGACCCGGTTTCGGTTTCCACAGTCAGTCAGGTGCATAATGAACATATTTAGTGAAATTACTCAAACATACACATAACATGTCCGTAAAATTAAAGGCATAATTAATTTTGTTTATTTCATATTTTTTGTAACATTTAGTAAAACTGGCCTCGAGAAGTTTAGGGGCGGTTACACACGGCGATTTTTAACAGCGATGCAAGCGCGATGTAAACGCAATGCAGTAGCGATATAGTCGCTAATCGTCTGCCTTTGCACACGTGCACGATTTTAAGTTGCGCGTTTGCATCGATGCAATCGCCCATAAATCGCAAGTGTAGCGATGCAAACGCGCGTTCGTTGCATCACTGCTAAAATTCGCCATGTATCCACATGAGTATCCACTCTAAGATGTGTCACGTGTGATTATTAAAAAGCCATGATAGCCTAAAGGTTTGACCTACCGTCTCTCAAGCAGCGGTAGTGGTGTCGAATCCCAGCTCGTACTTCTGAATTATTCGGTGATGTAAGTACTACAGCAACAGAATTCACTCCGTGTCATTAACCAGGTCGTCCTTATTCTATAAGACCTATTTACATCTTTAGCTCCGTTTTGACATCTGACATAAACATTATAAAATTACGACAAGATCTCTTGAAAATGTTAAAAACGTAAGGTAACAAATCTATCAAAAACATTAAAGAATCGTGAAAAAAAAGCAATAATCGTATAAAGGAACATAATTATTATTAGGTTGTTTTTTATTGTCATCAATTATAATATATTGTGAATTGAGTCACATGAAACCTTTAAAGCATCTACTTACTTTAGTATTTAAAAATAGGTAAGAGGTATATTCAGCTTAATATTAATACATTTATGATGCTATCAAATGTTAGCTATACAGAGGTAATTATATTAACAATTTCCAAATAATAATTACTAATAAGTATAATTTATTTCCAATCACAATGGCGTTGTGATTGTGTTGGTTGTGGACCTTTACAGGTCCCATGGTCACTGTTGACCGATTTCATGGTTGAGTCAACCGCGACCATGGGACCTGTAAAGGGCCCGAAACATCGGTTTGTTTGAAAAAACAAATATACGCGATTTAAATCCGGAAAAACAGTTTCATTTCCTATGTGTAACAATCGCGAAAACCTAAGAACTCGAGTGAAAATTTAATTAAAATAAACCGTAACTGAATGGATTTAAGGTGTTCGTTTAATGAATTGTGGCCAAGCGCGCGTCTGTTTTACACAAAAACAGGAAATTGCTTTCAGACAACTTCGAGTTTTCCGCAGATGCATGTTAGAATTATTATCATAAAGTAAATGGTATGGTGGTATTCCCAAACTCGTTTTGCTATTAACTTATTCAGAAATGTGAAATTCTATATTTTAAATAAATAAACCGAGTTTAAGGTTTGTTACAAGAGTCTACGACAACGTCTACAAGTCATTTAAGTCGTCTAATATTCCCAAAAAAAGCAAAATGTTTCCTTTTCCATTGTAGCAAAAAAAGTTGTGAAATTTCACATAATGAATAGTAGGTGGTGTAAAGTAACTTTCGAAAGTTTGCAATTAATGCGTGCATAGGTAATTATAACAATTAAAAAACAAGCGCTTATAAGTCCCATTATCTTCTTTAAGATTTGTTAAATGTGTTTAACTATTTGGTAGAATTCTTTAAAATAATTAGTTATAACTTTCTTATTCTGATCACAAAAAGAGAAAAGTTATATCGTGCGCCTGGTAGTAAGCGATACACGTATCCATAACAGTCGCAGTGCCATTTATAGCTTTAAATCGCAAAGATCTTAGCACTGCCAATGCGCCCGCCACCCCGAGACATATTTGACGAGTCCCAAGTGCCTGTAATTTCACCAAAGGTTAATAAAAAAATAGTTATTTTTTATCTAACTTTTAGCATATTTCATAATTAAACGTAAATAATTAATTAAGTTGATGATTGTAGTACCCTTATAAGACTTTTTTTATACGTGACAGGCAGATGACTCTACTCCACCTGATGTTACATGGAAAGTTGAACCCACACGTGAAGGAACCTAGTGCAATGTTGATACAATCACTGCTCTAACCACCTCCTGAGTGAGCATTACTGCGTTCAAGTACAAGGGTGCTGGTGAAATTACAGGCACATGAGACTTGTCTAAAACTTATGTCTCAGGGTGACAGGCGCAGTGGCAGTGCCTTTGAGATCTTTGCGATTTAAAGCTCTGAGTGGCACTGCAACTGTTATAGACAGGCGTGTAGCTTATCATCAGGTACGACTTGTTCGTCCCATCACTTGATATTATAAAAAAAAATACAATTTACTATAAGACATTCGTTAAAATTGGCTGAAACAATATATTTGAAAAACAAAAGACTGTTTTACAATAAATAAAAATAAAAACGAATGTCCGTAATTAAATTATAATATTATTATGTCATCAACGTGATTAAAAATTAATTCATATTTAAATATACGTCAAAAACAGTTGATTATTAATGTCAATAATTATAAAAACCGAAACCTTCATACGACAAGTCATGAAAGTATTGTTAAGGTGAATTGTTATTATTATTTATATAATTATTCTTTTATTATCCAAAAATTCACCAATTGTATAATAAAGTTTTATGTATTAGTATTTTTTTAGTTATTGTACTTACGATACATGCTGGTAAAAGTAATTGTTTTGGAATTTTTTTATATATTTAGGTGTTCATCTAAATTCCAGGCATATCTCAACTTTCTGCATCATCAAGTCAAGCCAGCTACCCACCAGCCAACACCTACGGCACCGAAGAACAAGGCTACGCGACGGACCAGAAAGATTTTATGGGATACGAGTCCAGCCCTACTGGTACTTATGCGTACCCTCAAGACGAATACGGGAATGATGTCAACGACCTTTCTAATGTAGATATGTCCAGGTCAGTGTACTTATTTTTTATTTGGTAAGAAAGGTCAATCGTAATGGTTAACAAGGTTAGTTATGCGGTAATTCATAATTATATAATGCTTTTGCACCGTAATAGCATTTAACGCTACGGTTTAGCACCACATGGAGTTATATGGAATTGCTTACTGCGGAAATAACTGTCGTTATCGTAATGTTCGTTAACTCTACTGCTTACTATTAGTGATAAAAAAAAACGAGCAAAGTTAAAGAAAAATGCCTTTTAAACGACTCAAAATTCAAATATTCAAAATTGAAAATCATCTTTATTTCAATCAAATTACACTTGAAATCGTCACATTGATTAAAAACTCTACTCATTCGTAAGCCAGATTCCCCTGACAAGAATAAGCAAGAAACTCTACGGGTTGCTCTTTGTAATTTGAATACTATTGTCGTTTACAAAATCTATTTCAAACGTCTTACTTTGAGAATAACTGCAGACGGGTCACTACCACGGATTTTTGTCATGCGAGTACGCAGAAGCTGTATAGTATGAATATATGTATGTGTATGCATAGTTTTTGTTTCACTATAGTTTTAAACCTCGTAAATATGGACTGAAACTAAGGGCTGTAACAAAAATAACACAGTGATATAAAAAAAGGCAAAATATATATATAAAACACTCCCTACTCACACTAAACAGTCGAAACTCCCAGGTATTTACCCCAAGAGGACTTATATGCGTATATTTATCGGTAACCTATCACAAAGTCGAAATTTTTTTGTCCGCAATAACGTTTGTTCGAATTTTCATTTCACCGAAAGCTGAATTATAACGAAACAGTTGTTCTTTCAGGATATGTTGAATGTTTATCGCAAAGACACGATTAGGTTCGGTTAGATTAGGTTAAGTTAGGTTTAAAAGAAAAACATTTTCCTCTCAAAATTACTTTCGAGGTTACGACATTCTGATAAAAAAAAAATTATTTCTGGAAAATGTCATTTCGAACTACTGATAGGTAACCATATTTATCTAATACTTTAAAAACAATTTTAATCGAGTTGGAGTTTCACATGATAATAAATAAGCACGTCTACTCGCTTTGAGAATTTTGATGGTAGTGATAACGGAACGAATCAACGTAAGACTAATAAAGGAACAGGAATTCGAGAACAATAAAAAAATTTAAAAGTGGCCAGGAACCTGTAAAGAGGGCGATAGAAAGGTGGAATGACGTTCAATGAGTTCGCATCGTCACACCGCTCTTACTAACTGAGCTACTTCAGGTCAAGTCACCCGAGATACTGCTATTTTCGTATAGAGAGTTCACGTTTCGTGTCGCTCTCGTGCAAGTAGGGCCCCGTCGTGCTAGCCCTACGGATCTTACAAATTTATTTTTCGTGCTTGGTCTGTGTCAATGTAGTAAACTAGAGGAGTATTTTCACAAAAAAAAGTGAATATGACGCTAGCAAAAACATCATGACGTTCAATAAAATAAATATTGCATATAATATACCGACATCTCTGTCAATCTCATCTCTGGTAACTGAAACTTCCATAAATTACTCACTGGTGGCGCTACAGCAAAAAAGCTGTAAAACCCAATATAAAGATCTGCAACAAGCACATAGAGAAATTCGTAAGCTCTGCTGACTTGATCTGTAGTTCGGTTGGTAAGAGCGGTAGCCGCTATGAGGCAACAGACGCTGGTTCGAGTCCAGTCAGATCAAAGCAAGTTTTCTTTGCGTTTGTCCGATATTTGAATAATTAATAATTTAAACAGATTAGTAGAGCATATATTACATAAAATAAATATAGAATCTATTACTTATTCCGAACACAAATTTCCGTGAGATTAATGACTTAGAAACGCGTGTGAATTTTATATAGGGAATTCAAGAATCATTTATTAGGAAGACACGTTACGACTAAGTGACTTTGACATTGACTGTATATGTAATGTCGCTTAGAGTATCACACACAGTTTTTTCGCGTCACAGAATCAGACATTAATTCGACAGCCATATGTAATATGACAGTATTACAATACCTTCCTACAGAGTAGCGCCAATACCTTTGATATTCGGCGATACCACCGCCCTAGTAGGTACTTGAGGCTTCGTAAGCAGATGCAAGGGTTATCACAAAATGTATAAAAAAATGTGATTACCTATTATCATAATGTAATCATTTTTAGCAATAATGACTAAATATTGCTTTTCTAGTAATAAAGATTTATAAGTATTACAATGCCAAATATTTACATGTTTTCAGTTTTCCTTTATTAAATTTATTCATGTATATTCGTATTCTAATAAACAATTTAATTATAAAAAAATGGGGGAAACATGAGCACAGCTGTGATTTAAATTTTACTTTACTTAGTATATTAAATAATTAGCTTGTCAAATATTGTTACCAATATTGCATCCGTACACAGAACAGCGCTAATGTATAAGCGACGATCAACGATTTTCGTGGAACTCGCTGAATGTATTCAAAAATATTTTAAAACTCGCACATGTCAACCCTTAGCTCTCTATCCGGCAAACTATGCGTGTTTTGCAGGATTCCACCCCTAGGCTGTAAATATTCTAAGGATTCGCACAAAGCGTTTCGCTTCCACTTTTATATGGAGAGCGACTACGAAGTTGAAGTCTCTACCTGCAGACATATTTCCTAAACGCTATAACTTGGACCTTTACGAGACGAGACTGACTACGCATTGTTTAAATATACATGCTCCGTCGATAATCTCATCATCACTTTCTATAAGATGAGATGGCGGTCAAATGCGCACTTATTTATGTTATGAAAAAAAGTGCTGTTTTACTGACTTCCTTTTTCTGTCTAACTGTACCTAGATTTAAACAGATATGCACCATGACCATCATGGGACCATAGAACTGAAGTTATTAATTTTTATAAATAAAAGACTCCATTCGTTATAGCATGAACTATGTAAAGCAATTACACAGAATAATAAGCATTGTGAAAAAAAAAAAACAAATACAATCTGAAATAAAAAACGCAACTTTACTTCTAAAGCTAGTCTTAGCACACTCATTCATCAAATGACTAAACGTTAATTAAAAACTACGTCGCTACATCATCTTGGCACCTCGTGAGATGGATTACAAAGTCTACATGTACTGATTTTTCGTTATTTTAGCAGTAATAATGAAAAAAAGCCTGTACTTTATGACTATAAAATTTTTGAGACATTCTCAAATTTATTGTCTCATAATTTTTTAAAATTATTATTAAATTCAGATTTTAAAAACCCTCGACTCAAGCCAGAGTGGACTCCAAAAAGTAAGCCAACCATCTTTTTTCTCAGGCTAATTTAATAGCCTTAAAATAAAAAAACGGCTTTAGAGATCGTTGTGGAGCTACGATGCGAAAGACAGACACACAGATACATAGATATAGACTTCAAATGATAACTCCCCTCATTTTGAGTGGAGGATGTTTTTTTATGATACCTAGTGATGAGACGAACAAGTCGTACACCTGTTAGTATGCGACACGCCTGTACATAACAGTTGTAGTGCCGCTCGAGCTTTAAATCACAAAGATCTGTGGAGCAGTAATTTGCCTGTAATTCCACCAGTACCTTTACCCTTCAAAAACGAAACGCAGCAATGCGCTTATCACTGCATAGTGGCAGAAATAGGTAAGGATGCAGTACTTCCTTGGACGAACTGTTTCACATGGAAACTCTACTGCTAATATTATTAAAAGCTAATTAAAAATAATGTGTTAAGTTTTTATCGCTCTTCGTTGCAAAAATGGAAATGTAGAGTTAAAATAGATCAAATATACATATTAACAACAACCTTTGGGGCTTCGGGTATCTGTAACACAGAACGGACCACAATTTTTAGATGGTTGTCTCAATTTATACCAAAACGATTTCTCTGAAAAATTGTGGGCAAAGTGGCCACCCCGATTTAATACTTCTGTAAGGAACAAAATATCGAGGGAGTTAAAAAAATTGCACAAAAATCCAAAATTGTTTTCATTAATAACATCATCTTGAATATAGGAAGCTTTGTTTGCGTCGGATTTCTCGATCACTCACTGCTAAACAAAACGAGCTCGAGCTACGCAGGAATATGAATGTAAAATTTAAAATCGGACATGTTAACATGGAAATAATAATAATATAATAGTGCCAGACAACCACACGAATTACATAGTATAAAAAGACAAGCATAGTAACTCCATACAAACGTAGCAGCGTGGCTTGTGCTCGCCTGTCTCACGCCGTGTACAGACAGAGATTCTCATAATCTCGTGATGAATTCGCTTTGCAGAGCGCTGGTCGTCTCACGGCTGGTAGTCGCGCCACAGTTGCGCCACTGAAGGAGTCCTTAGTTTTATAAACTCATAGATATAATTTTGAAGTACTTTTTCGTAATCACAATATTTTCATTAAGTGTGAAAATTTAATTAGTCACCTTATCTAATGTATAAAATCACCGCTTCTTTGATTTTACTGTATAAATACAACACAACTTACTAAAGCGATGCGGGCATTTCAGGAATTTATTGGTTGGATTATTTAAAGCACTTTTGAGCTAATTGAACTGCAGCCTGAGTGATTTTTTCACATACATAAATTGTATGCAAATCGTTCACTCTAATTTAACACCAAGCGATTCGGATCTCGCGGGACATTTGTGCGTTCGCAACATAACGTTGGATTTCGAGCGTATTATGTTTGCACCACTGCTCATATTGTTTAAATTTTCTTACGATCGTCGACCGCACTCATGGCGGCTTTTCGGTAAAATATGTCTAAATTCCTATTAAAAAGTAAATATTAAGTTAATTTAATTAAAATAATATGTAACTTAATAAAGTTAATTCGTTGTTTTGTACAGGAATTCAAAATTATAAAACGTATAAAAAATCTTTTTGTCTTGTATTTTAATCCAAACTGGCAGCTCTAAAATAGGCAAAGGGGGACAATAAATAACAGAAAAAATCTAAAATTAATTAGAATGAGTGTTTGTATTACA